TATTTTGCGTATCGAGGGCAATGCCAGTCTTGTCCATTGTGAGAAATTAAATCACTTAACCTCACCTACTCTCAGGATGTCTCCAGAGCGGTCGATGAAGACTGAGAGAAACCACTTCAGAGATCATGCAGAGAAGTGATAGAAGCCATTTCGGACACAGGCTAAGCCCTAGACAGAGCTGTCTATAGACAATGGGGGATTCCAGAGTCTGAATTTGCTTTTCAACTCCAGCTATCAAATCCCTGCTTTGGGGAAGAGTTGGCAAGGAAAACGAAGACCCTGGTATAAATGAGAGCAGGAGTCAGGTTATCAAGGAAACACTTGAAATTAAGACTGGGGTCACTCACCACATCAAGTCCCAATGGGGCTTGACTAAAGTAGCTTCTCAGTCACCAGCTCTAAGATCAAGGTCAAGGACAGAGTGGGTGTTAGGGACTTCGTGCTTATGTATTCGATTGAGAGTCTGACACTGATAAATTATTCTGGTCAAAAATGGTGTGGGGGATTGGGGAATGCTTGGGGAGCGAAAGCCTATGTATGGAAGCTTAAGTAGAATCTGCTCAATTAGGAGCCTGTTACGGTCGTCAGGGCTGGAGCTGCTTACGAGGACTTGAGGTCATGAACCACCTAGTGTTAAACTCACCAGCCTGTTTTTCACAATTTATAAGAAATTCTCATATGATTTCCTTGCTGACCTTCACAGTGAGAAGCCAACAGGTAGATTCTGCTGTGAGGAAGACAATGCATTTGTGAAGAGATGAGGATGTTGGTTGTTTCAGTTCTGTCTTACCCACCCACTGAGAAGCAGGGGGAGTTTCCTGCCTGAGGGAGAAACATGAGAGAGAGGTGCATGGCTCTTGAGGTGGCGTGACTGGTTGAGGTTCTTTTCCAAATCTTAAAAGGCTAAGCCTACATCCTGCTAGGTGATTTCTTGATAACAAATATTTATCGGAGGAAACAGAAATGAAATGTCAGGAGCTGCAGTCTTCAGTTATTTCTATTTCATGGATGAGTACTTTTCTATTTTATCACCTAGTAGAGAGTGCAATTTGCCTTCTCATTTCATCACTTTTTTTTTTAAAAGAATTTTACCACTAAGCCTTTAAGTCTTCGTAACAGGGTCAAAGAGACACTTCCGTATTTCCCTGCCCTGCGTATGGCCCAAAGCCCAGGTAATCTCACCTGTGGGCCCTGGACAAATGATAATTTAGAAGGGCATGTGAAAGCCATGGACAGCTCATCCTCCTGTAACTGATTCTTCTCTTCTTTACATACAAGTGGGCTCTGAGTTTTGATATTTGGAAAGCTTAAAGGTCCCCCTGGAGAAATTTATGGTGCGGACCTCAGAGGAGGGGGGGAATAACAAGCTGTGATTGAACACTGTGGTGGACATTTCTTTAATGAGGTCATATGTTTGGCTGGATGCATGTCCCCTTAGAAGGGAGCTTCTTGAGGATTCTTTCCCTTCGCCTTCATTTCCTTCAGTGTCTCATCCAAATATGTATTATTCAGTAGGTAATAAGGAATGTAATTCCCTCTCGATATTTTCGTTCAGAAATGGAGCTGTTGAAATTTTACTGAGCCTGGGCTTTTCCAGCCAAAGCCTATGAGTACTGATGGAGCATGGGGCATGTTCCAGGTATTGAACAGAACGGACAAAAATCCTACCCTCAGGAAGCTTACATTCACCCACTGGGAACTCCTTCAGAGCAGGACTATTCCTTATCTCATTTGAAACTTAACTGTCCAAGATACTGGGGACATATTAACCTTTGGCAATGATAACCAGTGAAGATTTTTTTTTTTTTTGGCAATGATAACCAGTGAAGTGTGTTGCATCTGATAACCTGACATGCCTTTTCAGTCAAATAAAACTAGAGCTTGAATACATTTCAAACAACATGGTGGAGGTTATGGGTACTTCGACAGTGGGTATGGTGTGATAACATTCATCTGAAGATGTGTAAACCTGTTCCCCTAAACCATATGCAGTGTGGTAAACCAATGCTACCTCAATATAAACAAACGTATCATAGTGTGCCCCTGAGCTCCCTACAAAGAAAAGGAAATCTCTAAAGGTTAAGAAAGAAATGAACAAGACAAGAGAAAACACTAAGCTGAAGCAGAGCAGGATGCTGAGTGTATGTTACACACTAATAAGGGGTACGGAGATATTGCCATGGGGATAGGTGTCCTACAACTTCAGTCCAAGCCTCCCCCTGCCGGAAGAACCCTCGTGTGAAGTCACATTCCTCCTGAACTAAAGGAGCACAGATCAATGTCTCGCCCTACATGTTGAGGAATCCCCTGTGTGTCTCCTGAGAGAGATTGGACCTAAACTTGCTTCCCTTTTAAATAGAACCAGGTCATTTCTTTAACTTGCCAGTTTCACCCAATTGAATTTATTGCAATTGACATATTTGGACATATTTCAAGATCTTGCTGTCATCACTGGTGTCTTGCTGCTTCTAAATCTCATTTGTCTCCTCTTCTGCATTTTGCATAGTTTTTATGTGGTTATCCTAAAGCCCCCAATTTACAATTTATATAAATTCTATTACAATTTTATTCCCATGATCTAGTTAAAAATTATAAAGTAATGAGATTGCCTAAGAAACAAAATCAGACCCCAAGATTGATGGGAATTTGACAATTCACAAAGATTGCACTGCTGATTATTTTGTCATGGTTCAACTTTTCAACGAATGGTGCTTGCACAATTAATTATTTGAATAAACAAAAGAAAACTGAAATTGTATTCTTATTGCACCAAATGTACAAATCCAATCCAGGTAAGAAAGAGATTCAAATGTGCAAAGAACAACTTGAAATTTCAGAAAGGAATACAGACTATATCATCTGAGGGTTGTTTACAAAATGGAACCCGACTAAAATAACAGTTAAAAAGCAACAGCATAAAATACTAAAATACTCAGAACCCATGATTAGGTCTCTCTTTCCAAATGACAAGCCCCATTTTTACAGCAGCTCTTTTTTCATTTGAGCAAAATCATGGACATTTTCCTTTAGAATTGTGGATTAAAGGCTTTCAACTTTGAAAAAATAAATTTCACTTCTATGAACCCCCTTTATTATTAATATTAAAAGTGAATTAACCCATCTTATAATTTTCTTATAATTTTATTATTAGGACAAAAAAAATCAATACTGAGTTCAGAAAGTCTCAGAAATAAGTAGCTTTCCCCAGCTGAGCAGGGAAGGTTGTTGCAGTAGAGCTGACTTTCAAGTCAGTTCCTATTTAATTGCAAATTAACTAATAGAGATGGTATTTTCTAAACAAAATTATAATGTTTATAGTAGCTTATTAAGCCATAAACCTCCAAGAGTCGATCTTTAACTCCCAGCAAGGAGGGCTTTATATGAAAGATGCTGTTTTCTGACCATGCAGAAAATATCCCAATTGTGCATCTCCTGGATTTGCCCAAAGTGGAAAAAAAGTCACACATCTTGCTCAAAGTTCAATTTCTTCACCATTATTTTTCCCTCAAATACTCTAAGGGTAGTGTTTTTGCAAATCATATCATTAAACATGAGATAAACAAGCTCAATACAATCATCAAATCTTTGATGACTCCAAATTTGTCCACTAGTTTTCGCTTTAGATCCTTAACCAGCTACTTGTTTCTTTTCAACAAACTAAAATTTACTCTTCAGGTTGTTTTAGAAAGACCCTTCCAATCTGCCTACTTCCTTTTCATCTAAAATAGGTGTGGCCACTTCTACAGCACTAGCCATGAGATTTTTCCTTTTATGTCCAGTTTATTACTAAGCTAATTCTGAAACTTATCTTAGAGATAACGTCAAGATACATACTTTTTTAAAAAAATGTGGTCAGTCTGGTTGTGCAGTTAATGTTTTAACATCAGCTTCATATTTTTCCTTTGAACTCTCATCTCAGTTATCACTACAATTTCATCTAATTATTGTTCATTTTTCTTGCACAAATGATAGCAGCTTTCCATATCACCTGAAGTTCCAAAATCATAAGGCCCCCATTTTTAATAGTAGTAAGATTTCTACCATATTGACTAAATGCTTGCTACTGCTGGAGACCCCTATCTCTCTCAAACACTGATGATAGACTATCTTGAGGGGGAAACAAAAGAAGACAGGGAAAGGAAGAAGAGGGAAAAAAGAAGAAAGAATGGGAGGTAGGAAGGAAGGAGGGAAGGCAAGAAAATACTTTCCTTTTTTGAAATATTATTATTTCTAAAATTCACTCATTCAATAGCTAATATTTAGAGAGCCCCCTTCAAGATGAAAGAAACGATCTGAGCAAGTCATGTAAGAGACACTCTAAGGAATTGCTGAGCTAATAGGACCTTTAATTAAGAAGTCATTAGACTCTTGGTACAATTTGCCCCTTTCACATATGACTGATCTGTCCATGTGGTGTTGAGATGTCACACCCAGACATGGGCAGCCCGGCCTAATCTGTTGACATGCGCCCAAAGAATCAAGAGAGACTCCTTATTCAGACACATGCACATGAGAAGCATCTTCTGGGAGCTGAGGAAATAGCCAGCTGTCAACTGTGACCATCTCATACAGAGTCTGAAAATTCACTGTCAACACTTGCAACAAAGTGTGAAGTAGAGAAAAGTCATAAAAATCATCTTGTGAAAAGTTAACTCTGTCTTTGGGCAGAGATGGGGACAGTAACTGTAACACCTCATCCCCACCCAGCTGCCTCTCAACCAGCCAGTTCTCAGTTGGCAGTTTTATGCTCACAAAATCCGTATCCAATTAGTGCTTCCCTCTATTCAGACAGAAGGAATTTGAGTCAGGCAGAAATGAACTATCCCAGTCAAGGTCAAATAGCTACTACACCTTGGAATGGGGATGCAACCCATGACATATTTGCTGCACTTTTCCACGACGATAAGAGCCATCATCCCTTCCTATCCCCTATCAGAGTGATTCTCAGTGATGTTGTTCTTAAATTGAGCCTCAAGGAGGCTTGAAGTACTTGCCTTTCTGAAGGTTCCACTGGAGGTAGGACTGAGGTCAAATGTCTCCAGGAGATACAATGAGACTGGAGGCCCTGGTGGAGGTTGGAAAACCCGAGTAGCTTGAAACCTTGAATGACCACATGTCACTCAGCCTCTTCTGGGGTATCTGTCCTTGGCAGAAAAGCTTCACCTTGGCCACTTGGTTTCCCAGTTTGTGGCTCGGTAGACAAACCTGGGTAGAAGGGAGAGTGTATAGAGATGAAGTTACACTGGGGGTGAAAACCCCAGGCTCTCACCAGTGGTATACATTCAGATTCCTGGAACTGGCACAGTGCTTGTCCTGGCACCTGCTGGCCTGTGTGTTCTGCTCAACCAAACTAATGGCAGGTAACCTGCCAGGGAACTCACACAGGCACTGCAGAAAAGGAGACAGAAAACTGTCAACATGTTTGGTGAAAGAGATCTTCACCATGACACAAAAACTTTGGCACCATGGCCCAGTTTTGACAAACATGAAATAATAGGAATAGCCATAGGGAAGGAGTTGGAAGCCACCCAGAGGCAGTGTGAAGATGGCTGATTAGAAGGTTATCCTAAGTAGAATAGGTAAGGGAGTGGGCAGGTGAGACAGGGGAGGTGTGTTAATGGCCAGAGTAACCTTTGTGGGCAGTGAGGTTAATGTCTTGAAGCCCCTGGGAGGTTGGACAGAGCCTGAGGAACAAAATGTTTTCACTCAGCTACTCCGATTTGGCACTGGCTGCAGGTATCTCTAGGGGTCAATAGCTGGCATTTTCCATTTGTCCCACTAAGAGGCCAACACAATTCAGGGAACAACGCACACCCTATAGCCAGGAATGCAAGGCTGGTCCTTATGGATGAGATACTGACATCTGCTTCAGAAGCTCAACACAAGTTTCTAGACTTGACTCTCTAACTAAAGGGTTGGGAGACCTTGACCATATCACATCCTCACGTCCAGACACAGCTTCCCTACCAACGACAAGGTAACCATATATGCCAGCCTCTCAGATCGGGGCTGCCAGGACCATGGAGTGAGATGAGGGAGGGAAACTCTCTGCACTTTAGAAAAACTCTATGAAAAGACTCTAGATCTTTTCTTCTTCAAAAGACCTAATGAAGTGAAAATTGAGATGAAATGAATAAAAGAACTAAAACAAGACACAAAGTGAAAAGTATACTGCAGATTGGCCAATAGGTGGCATTCAGACGGCTTCTGGACATTGGATATCTCAGAATGAACATATAACCAGGAAGGGATTACTGGTAAGCCAGTAAGAGGTTAAGAGGGAGGAAAAGAGAAACAGATGCAGGGGGGTGGGGTGTGGGGAGGGAGACACTGATGACCAATTCTCAGAAGAGAAGATTTCTTGGTGAAAGACCCTTTTTCCCTCCTGCTCATCTCTGGAAACCATTCTAGCTTCCTGGCTCCACGAATCTATTGTGCAAGCCTGATGCATCACAGAAATCGTTCTCACTTGGGTTCTGTCCCTACAGAGAAATCCCACAGTGACTGCCGTTTTGAAAATAGAGAATTTAAATCATCTTTCCAAAAGTGAGAATGGAAATAGTCCCCCAAACACCCAGAAACCTTCCACCAATGTTGAGACAAGGCTGACTGGAAAGATTACCAGAGAGAGAAAATGTGAGAGACGTGGTTCCCCTTCCAGTAAACGCTTCTCTGGGAAAGGCGCTTGTTAACTCCCACTGAAAAATAGGCCTGCTGTCCAAGTCAGAGTGAATTACAGGCGAAATGGTGCAAAACTTCACAGCCTGGAGAGAAAACCCCAGTTGCACTGAAGTGGAGCTGTGAAATGATTCCTATATTTCAGGGAGAATTATTTTATCTTTTTTGTTAAGTCACCGAAATAAACAATCACAGTTCTAAACTGTGAAAAACAGGAAGACACGCTAGGAAGATTTATAATACACGTTACAACTCCCGGTAGCTTCATTAAAATAGTAAACAGAAATGCATGTCTAGAACACCCCAAGTTAACAAAATGATTTCACACACATCTTCCAATTTGAATATTGTAACAGTGTCTGTGAGAGAAATTATTTTATATGGTGATGACAGCCTAACTGTCAAGTAATTTGAAGTGACTCCTCTATGGTCCCCAAAATGAAAACCAGTGATTCCAAACTCTCCAGTCCTCTTAATTCTAGTCGATGCTTTTAAACCCACCAAAGTAATTAATGTCTCAGAAGCCACCCAGGGTTTAACACAACCCCGAATAAGCTCCTTCTTTACCTGGATCCTGCATTTGGCTCTTGTAGGATATTCCCATTTTTGCAATATGTCAGAGAATATTTCTGACGAATGTAGGGATCTATCGTTTGATGATGTGGTCTCCCATTTAAGGATGTGGTTTAGGGATTCACAGAATGTGTTAGAATCCAGACTTGGACATTCGTTAGCTCTGAGCATCCACGATCTCTTGACCCTTTCTCCCTTGTAGTTCTGAAGAGTAGCAAGTGCCTTTGAGTGACGCTGTGTCTGCAGGCCTGGCAGTAGTGGGTACACCATAAATGGCAGCTCTTCCTCTGTAGAGAGGAAGAGCTAATGCTTGTGCACATACATTGTGTGCACACAGGGAGGTGAAAATAGAAAACGGAAGGGGAAGGAGAGCAGAAGCCTCTCTGGAAGCACAAGCTCACAGCTGAGTCGTGCCCAACCTCCACAAGGTGGTGGAAAGATGAGCTGGGCCTTCTCCCAACTTGGGTGGGCCCCTCTGACACCCTGCCCTCCTTATAAGAATGCTCACTTCATTTTTTTGTTTTTGTTTTTGGTAATCTTTCAGGACTGTCAGCTCTCTGGACCCAACAACTTTCCCTTTTCTCTACTGCCCACAGCTGGAAGAGAGCTGAGGACAGAGGACAGAGGTTTTGGCTGCTCAGTACCCACCTCCTTCTCAGCACCCACCCAATATACTTTCAGGAAATCACCTCTCCCTTAGCTCCTGTGTGGTCTCAGCGGGAGGTAAATCCAGCGCCAGGCTGAGGGGTCACACGCTTCTTCTGGCCCTTCACCGAGGCAGGCCTGGGGCCTGAACTCAACCAGTGAAACTCTCGCTTGGAAGTGTGGGTTTTGAGCTTATGCCAGAAATCCAAAACAAATAGCAGAAGGTATCGATCCCACGGGCAGCATCCTAGTCAGACTGTTGACTGCTCAACATCACTACTGGTGTTCTGTTTTGTCTCCTGCCCTCCAAACAGCCACTGGCTTCCAGCCCTGACAGAACCTTGGCATCCCCACTCTGACCTTCTAGAATATGCTCTTTGCTTACATGAGTCACATTTGGTTTCTAGTGTTTGAAACCAGCAACTCTAAAACAAGAGCATGTAAATATTGCTGGAATGACACTGAATTTATAAATATTACCTATCAGTTTATCAGAAAAGTGTGTGTGTGTATATATATATATATATATATTCCCCTAGCTTAAATTCTACAATAATTTATAGTGAGCTCTACACATAATTAATATAAAAGATAGGGAATGCTACGGCCATTTGGTAGTAGGGAGTGGATATCTTTTATATGATCTTTTATGATATCAAAGTGTCAATAAAACTGGAGGGTGTAATGTTGGGTCATACTCATGAAGGTATGTTTCTTTTAGATGTTAAGTTAGGAAAGCAAAGATACATGGTTTTGGTAACAGCTGGGTTACTACAGAACAGAGCCCAGAAGATATCAGAATTGTGTAGAATTATCATTTCCTCAGATGCATTTTCAAAAACTTTTCAATAATGCTTTTAATGATAATTTCACCATACTCTATTCAAAGTTGGAATTCCATATTTAACTCACATAGCAGAAATAAAATATTATCCATTTATTTATTTATTTTACTGGTATTTTTTTTTCTCTGACTTTTGACTCTGACTCCTAAATTCTAATCCAAACCAATGTGGGATTATGGTTAACGTCTCAAAAAAGAAAAACAGAATCATGGTTTTTGGTTCTCAGTACCTTTTGGGAAAAGCAGGATAAATTTACTGTTTGGAAAATAATCTTTTTAATATTTGTAAGGACTGTAGAATGTCAGAACCATCATACTTTGCCAAACAGTAAATAATTTTAAGAAAACTGCATATATTATTACTTTGGTCAAATATGAGGTCAATAATTCCAGCACAAAGTAATATTGCAATCTGGAAAATTAAAAAATATAGGACAACATTGGATGTAACAAATACAAGTAAATGCAACTTAAGGCAAGCACAAATCAGAGCAAAGGATCATCAAGATGTTAACCATGAAGCTGGAGCAGACTCTGCTGGAAATAATGTCAGGGGGATATTTTTTTGTCTTCAGTCACACCCAGGATGATATGCCTGGGTCTTACCAGGTAAGAACCAGGATGTCCTGGTTCCAAACTTTTCATGCTCCTCCAACTCCTCTTCTTGTACTTCTGTACCTACTTTTCCACTGTCTGGAATGTTACACAAAGAGCATATTTTCTGGGGCCTCCCTGGTGGTGCAAGGTGTTAAGCACAGAAGTGTGAAGCTATCTGTAGCCTCTGCAGCATGAGTTTGATTCCCAGCCAGATAGGGAGTGACCCACATGGTACAGCAGACCTCTTCTGTCTCGCCTATACCCCAGTTCTGGTATGTATAAATAAATCTTTTTTTTTTTTAAAGAGCATCGCTTCTGATAGTGAAGTCTCATAAACATCAGGAAAAACACTGTGAATCAGATTCTGTAATAGACTTGATTTACAAAGCAGCTCCTGGCACGACTGACAGTGACTCCACAAAGACACGGTGTGGCCGCAGGGAAGAGCCCTGACCTGGGTGGGGTTCCAGAAAATGGCTCTGGGAAGAGATCGTGTCTGTGCTGAGTTTGGAAGTGCAAAGGTAGGTAAAAAAGGAGTGACTGCAGCACTCCCGGCAGCAGGAACAGCTTGAGAAACGCACAAAGTGTGAAGACACATGCTGTGTGCAGGAAATGAAGCGGCTGGGCACTTCACAATGTGACATGGAGGGCTGACAGTGGTGAGGCCGCAAGCTGGAGGGGCAGGCTGTTCCCAGGGCACGGAACATAGTCTGATATTAACAAGTTGGGGAGCAATTGAGGCTTTTATGTGGAACAGAAAACTGATAGTTTCGTATTTGCATTTTAGATCACTGAAATGAAAAGATTAGTTAGAAGGTCTGATTACAAAGTGCAGCAGAAAATGAGGGGTAAGGATGATATGGGGGGG